CTCACTAACGATTTGGAGGTGCATGTTTTTAGTCTGTGGGAGGAACCTGGAGAAAACCCACGTGTGCATGGGGAGAACACGGAATGGAGCTCAGGCTGAGAGGCAAGGCCATCTCTCGCCATCTCCTTTTTCTGACACTTATTCGTCGTCGGGTTGCAGAGGCAACAGGTCCAGGAGAGAAACCCAGACATCCATCTCCCCAGCAACACTTTCCAGCTTGTCCCTGGGGGGACCCCCCCGAGGTGTTCCCAGGCCAGAGAGGATGGATAATCCCTCCAGCGAGTCCTGGGTCTTCCCCAAGGCCTCCTACCAGCATGATGTGCCCAGAACACCTCTAAAGGGAGGTGTCTAGGAGACATCCTATATCAGATGAACCTCCTCAACTGACTCTTTTCGATGTGGAGGAGCAGCTCTACTCCGAGCTCCMCCCAGATGAAGGAGCTCCTCACCTCATCTCTAAATGGCTCGACACACAGSAGGYCACGTCACTYTCGCTCCATTCATTTCCTGTGGAACTTGTGGGATGAGGCAACAGTCTTTTGTCCTCCTCCAGCCAAGCCATCGGCGACACTCRTTTGTAGACGTGCACGCATAAGCTCGCGACGCGACATATGAAAGCTGAAAAATGTTCTACTTTAGTCGGTGTTGCACGGCGCTACAACCAAACAGCAAGGGTTTCATTGACTGACCAATGAGCAAGGAGTATGCTACATTACAGTTAGMTACCATTTCCAACATTATTTTAGCTCTGCTAAACTTTCCAATTTTATATGACCCTTCATGAGGTGATTGCTAAGATGCACATAAAAAAGAGCCGTATGGGAATTTGTTGGCGCCAGGGTAAGTTTTTCCTCATAAAAATCGTATCTTGATGTGCATTTTTAAAAATATCATTACCATAACAAGATTAGCTTAGATTACACGTCCGTAATGCACACCATTATTTTTGGTGTTTGTGCCAAGCATCATTACATTACAAGAAGCAGAAAAACAAATCAAATTTCTTGAAGACAAGCAACACGGGAGCACGATTTGCAACAACGCCATCACGGGGAGCGGCAAACGACAGCTATTAACGGGCGCCATCGCAACCAGGGTGAAAACCCGACACATGGGACGCGATAGCGATCGCAGCGTTGCGAATCGCGCTCTCAGATCGCTTGTCTTCACAAAATTTGATTGGTTCTTAACTCTGAAGGCGGGTGTGCATTTCGGACGTGTAAACTAAACAAATCTTGCGATGCTAATGATATTGTAAAAACAAACACATCAAGATACAGTTTTATGAGGAAAAACTTACCATAAACTTCACCCTGGTGCCAATAAATTCCCACAAAGCTTTTTAGTAATCACTTGGTCAAAGTGTTAGCTAACGGCAGTGTGTAGCATACGCTCCTCTCATTGGTCAGTCAATGAAACCTTGTACGCTAAGCGACAGCGACAAAAGTTGAACATTTTTCAACTTTCATATGTTGCGTCGCAAGCTCGCGTGTGCACGCCTACGTGTACGAGCGTGAAATTTCACATGCACTATTTTCGCCGGTCGCTTAGCTGGAGGAGGGCAAGCGATTGTCGCCTCACCGCACAGGCTCCATAGGAAATGAATGGAGAGCGAGCGACGTCGCCTCCCGTGTGTCGAGCCCTTAAGGCTGAGCCCGGCCATTTCGGCCGCTTGTATCCAGGATCTAATTCTTTCAGTCATGATCCATGCCTCATGATCATAGGAGTGGTTTTGACCGTAGACATGTAAGAAAATTTAGTGTTCATTAACTGAAATCGAGATGAAACTACACCAATGTTGAATAGATTCAAACGTGAAGAGAAGAGGACCATACAACACCAGTGACTGGAGTGAACAGAGGTTTAATGCTGACCAGTCAGTCATGAAACCCACGCTGAATGAAAACCGGAAGTTCCGGCATATATATACATGTTCTTCAGTACCTGGTACGCCCACTACTGGCCTACGGCTGAATCGCAGAAACTCAGACAAAAAAACCTGTACTTATGTTTGATTAACAGTTTTTTATGTGTTGTGATGGTGTTTCGGGCATGTATCTAAACTACTTTAATCAAGACATAACAATAGTTAAACAATGGATTATAAAAGTCAGTACTTAAAAAGGAAARCTAAGAAAATGGTGTAGTGCTTTTAAAATCAGTATCTAACATGACTAATAAATTTCTTCAGACAGACCATGAGAGCTTTGCCTTTCAACTCARCTCTTTCTTCACCACGACCGACCAAAGCAACGCCCTCATTACTGAGGATGAGGCCCCAATCCGTCGATCCATYTYCCGCTCCATCCTACCATCACTCCTGAAMAWGACGCCCAGATACTTAAACTCCTGCAGTTGAGGCAGAGACTCTCCAGCAGCCCAAAGGGGGCATTCCATCCTTTTCTGGTCGAGAACCAGGAACTGACTCTCTTACCAGCCCTTCATACTCAGTTACAACCAGGTTGACATAAAAACTCAAATGGAYTGAGTACAATCCTGACAAACTGAACAAAACTCAGACAAGTTCTGCTGTACTTCATCCCATTAAGGCTCCAAAGCTGCAGATGGACTCCAACCTCACCATCTTGAACAGCTAATGRTGGTCTTGCTCTGCTATATGCAAGACTTAAGACCACTCCAAAAAGCCTGAAGGAGGAMAACTGCATCAATACCAAACACCCTAAACCAGTGGTTCCCAAACTTTTTGTCTTCTGACCCACAAACTATCCACGGCAAAAACTTGTGACCCCAAATATTACTGGTCTGAGTACATGAACTTGGTAAATAA